TTATTTATTTGTGTGTGTGTGTGTGTGTGTGTGTGGCCAGCTCAGCCCCACCAGGGGGCGGGGCTGGCTGGCTTGTGGTGCTGGGGGATTGAACCGTGGTTCCTGTGCTTTGCTAAGCTTGTTCTAAGTAGGTACTTTAGACCACTGAGCCATCTCACCAGCCCATCTCATAGGTTTTTACCCATAATGTATAAATTGTCATTTAATATCTTTTGAAGAGCAAAAAAAATTTTTTTTTTTCAGTACCAGGGATTGAACTCAGGGCTCTGCTCTTGCCAGGCAAATGCTTATTCTACTGAGCCATCTCCCGGGCCCTTGAAGAGCAAAATTTTTAAATTTTCTTGTCCAATTTTTCAGTCTTTTTCTTTTATAATTTATGCTTTAAATGACATATTAAGAAATACTTACCTACCTCAAAATGGCAAATATTTTTCCTTTGTTTTCCTGTAGATTTAATAATTTGCATTCTTATATTTAATGTTATTGTCTATTTCTTTTAGTTTATACATACAGAATGAAGTCAGGCTGAGACTTATTTTTAGAAATGTGAATACACTGTTGCAGAATTGAAGCATCCAGAGAGACTGTGGGATATATTTAGAAGGTATATGCATATTGTTCACCAATAAAAACAATCCAACAAAAATCATTAAAATATTGTGAAGACCTAGGATAAGGTGTGGCTATTTTTTCTTGGACAAGTAGAGGAATATTCCAGACCAGCAGTCCAGCAGACTTGTGTCCAAAGGGCTGAGCCCTGAACAAAGGAAGGGCTCCAGTTTTATACATTTTGTTAAAGAGGGTTGGCACAAAACTGGAAAGGGTTATAAGTGAAGTTACAGAAGGAAGATCAAGACAACTATTTACTCAGTGATAGCTTTACAACTTACCTTTGAAGATAGATTCTAGGCTGTCACTGGACTGTTTACAATAACATAGTTGTGAACCTTACTTGTGTCCCTTGAAAGAAGACAAATTCCAGGGTGTCATAGGACTTTGTTTACAGAAACTTAGTCATCAACCTTTATCAGCATCAGAGCAGAGGTCAGCAGTTACAGGAAAGAGGAATTCAAGGAGGAGCTACTCAAGGCCAGGAGGGGAAAAAAAGTGAACTTCTGCTAAATTCTGTTAATGCAATTGTTGAAGGTTGATTTCTTGAAAGGGTTATTTTTTTCCTAATAAATTATCTTGGTTTCTTCTTTGAAAATTAGAGTAGAGCATGACTGTACCTGTGTAGATCTTTTCTTAATTCTATTACAAGAATTTTCTCCCCAGCCTGTGTAAACTCCTCAAATTATTTGTCACACTGCTTTCTAGGGGCTAGATCTCTGTTCCTCACTAGCTTGTTCTCATGTATGTCCATAAGAATCAACCAAAGAGTCAAAGGATACGGCCCTATGTCCGCCTCTACAGCTTAGCCCTACATCTCTGTCCTCTCTAGCACTCAGGATCAATTCTGGCCACTTTGGCCTCCCCAAATTTGGTCACTTTTTTACAAAAGATTGTGGTATTCATTTTCATCTTCCATCCTAACCTGGAAATCCTCCCCTGGAAGTATCATGGGCAACTCTTGTTTTAGTTCATTTGCTTCTTTTTTTCTCAGCAATCAAATCCCTACACTATCTAATGTCCAAGGTCTGGAAACCATTTCTTTATATATATATTTTCTCTCTTAGTGATTTCTCCCAACTGGAAGGCCACACTGGATCCTGCCATGTTATCAAGAAGTTAAGCAAAGAAACCCTGGCTGATAGGTACAGTATGTGTACCTTGATCTGTACAGCATATGTATATCATTCGTCAGTAAAAACAGTCTAGTAAACATATTAAAATACTGTGAGGACCTAGAATAATGTATGACTTTTCTTTTCTGGACAAGTAGAGGTGTATTCCAGTAAAGGATTGTCCTTGATTTCAGGGAGTAATAACTGTTAGTATTTAGGCATAACATGGGAGCAAAGAGGGAATTTTGGTGGTATAAGAATTAAAAGTCTGGATCCATTAGTTATTCATTCTGGTACATTGTAGAGATCAGAATAACTAAGTCCTCTCATTGAGGGGGCAGGTCTTGGAAAAGGTCACAAAAGATGCCAGCGTTGTCTCCGTTTTTCCTTACCTTGTCTAATAGCCAATTGCCAAGATCTGATTTTTTTCTCCTTAACTTGAACCATTTTATGTTAATATTTCTGTATATTGTTTAAAAGCGAATTCCTACTTGCTTCACATCAATTTTTCCTTTTATTGCTTATTCTCATAAAGAGCATTTCTAGCCTCAGCTTTTATTTGCATTCCCAGAGAGCCAAGTAAGCATGGGAAACATTGCCCAGTTATGGCAAAGAAATATAAAGGCCTCGGCTTTCAGTACAAGATACACCTGCAGGAGATACTAATAGTCCCAGGAATACCACCTGAACAGTAAACTATGGGACAGGGCTGCTCATGGTGGCTGGGTGAGGAGGAGTTGGGAGATCAGGCAAATGGATGGCATCAGGCAGGTCAGAGGTGTGGCAGAGGAAGCCACAGCCTGGAGAAGGGCTGTGCCCCAAGGACCTAAAACTGAGAGTGGTTACACATTCAGCAAAAGGCAGGAGACGTTCCTAGAGCCTGGATGAAGACAGAGGCATTGCTTCTGATGCCAAAAGAGACCTGAACCAGGAGAGAGGGGATGAAGGTGGTTTAAAAAAAAAAAAAAAGGATCAAGGGGCTTCTGTACAACTCTGCTATAAGTGCTTGTGCTGTCTGCTTCTCTACATGACATGATATCTGTAGTCTTCAGAAGATGTTAAGGAACACTGCTCAATTCCTAGAAGAATCTTTGGGGTTCATCAGGGAGGATGCTATCAGGAGAGAAAAGCCATCTGCTTCCGCATCATGTTCTCAAGGCTGTTCACTTTCCAGTAGCAGATGTCTGACAAAGGCGACATGTTTCTCTCTTGGTGGATCACAGCGTCTGCCTCCCCAGCCCTGCAGTGCTAGCAAGCAAAACTGTGCTTATCGGAGCTTTGAAGTCATTGCCTTCTTGTATATAATCTGCCTCTGCAGCTGTAACAGCAGGAAAATCCAGAGCTGGGTGACATCATAGGGCCACCTGGCTCCATCCAACCTGGGCTGGGCCTTAAGGGCATGGTCAGAAGGATCCGCCCCGTACACACAGAATGTATTCCCAGGCAACGAGGTTGTCTGCTGCTGCCTGCTAGGGCCCATCCTGTTCTGACAGCCCATACCTGTTCACTGAGAACCTCCTGGCTATGGAGAGGGTTAGGAGCTAAAGGCTAGAGACTAGGGCAGCCCAGGTGCTGCAGCTTCAGCCCTGGGGGCAGTGGACGTTGGATGACAGACACTCAAGGAGCTAATAAACTCATAAACAACCTTACACCATGATGAAGACTGGGGAAGAGAGTGGCAGAAAGGAGGGGGCATCTTTCAAAGGCAATTGGTAAAGAGTGCAAAAGAGGAAAGAGCTCCAGGAAGCAGGGAAGGAGCTTAGTTCTGCACTGAGAGAAAAGAACAATAGCTACAGCAGCTGAGTAGGAGCTTGGGATCAGCTAGCAAATCAGGCAGAGCCTTGTGGCAGTTTGGGACCTATTCTGACTGGACACTGGTAAGCAGGGATCTCTCTGATCCCTGTAACTTCAGGGAACCTCTCCTACAACTTCAGCTGGGGAGCACTGAAGTTGCAGGAGAGGTGAGGGATGAGAAGGGGTACATCTTGGAAACATCGAGAAGCTAGGTAACAAGTAGACTGGGAGATGGATTAGAAGCAGAGGTGGAAGTGGAGATAGGGATGGCTTCAAGTGAGAGCAAGAGTCAGGTCTGAGATGCCAGGAGATGCCAGGAGGAGCCAAGAGGTCAGAAGCCTGAGGTTGAAGGGTGGGACCCCAGAGCTGCAAAATTTTGAGTTCTTGGTTGATGATGGTGTTTACAGCTCTGTAAAGGCCCCATGGGCTAGTGCATGCAGGGCAGAGAGGGAAGTCTGAGGTCACCTTCTCGGCTGGATTCACAGCTTTCTGTGGAGGGAAAGTCATTCCTAGCAGCTGAGCTGAGGGGCTCAGTCAGTAAGGTCCTGGCTATCTTCAGTCTTTGGCTCTGCGGCTCTGTCCCCAACTGAACCCAAGTGTCTAAAGAGTCTTCTGCAGTTATTGATGTGAGCTGGATAAAATTCCTAAGTGGCACTTTCTAACCATTCATTCATTCATTCATTCATTCATCATTCACTCATTCATTCATCCCTTAAGTCATTCATAAGCCTAAGGATCAAGGTCCCCACCACAGTATGTAGCATTCCTCATGATGGCTGGGACTTGATCTGAACACAGGACACAACACAGAGGTTCAAAACCCAGATAAGCCTTTGTATCTGAATTTCCTTCTCTCTGAAATCTCTCTAAATAGTCTCAATTAAATCACTAGGAAATTCCCCAGAGCAGCCGGCCCAGACCCTTCGTCAGGTGTCTCTTCCTGTATGTTTAACTTTGCCAGAAATTGCCTTACTGACACTGAATTCCTTTCCTACAGCACCAAGAGACACCCCTGCACCCTCTCAGGCGATTTCATAGCTCTACTAATTTCTCCCAATACAGGAGTGTTAGCTGGTGCCTTCGCTCTTTGCTACCAGCTGCAAAACCTGAAGCATTTCTCTAGTCAGTCCACTTCCTGGTGCCCAGAGACAATGCTGGACAGAAAGAACTTTGACTTTTTCTTTTCCACATGGTAAGAACACTTGGCACACCATGGCACCCTCTGTATGCACCTGGGTGGGCTGGGGGGACAGGCAACCCCCCATCGCCCCCACTCCCCACCCCCGGTCCCCGACCGACCGGGCAACAGCTTGGGTAAAGGATCTCCAGGGAGCTTGGGTGTTTCCAGGCCCTCTAGTTCCTGCCCTGTGGGCGGCGCCACCGTTCGGGTAAGGGCGGGCACCCTGGGTGCGCTCCCCTTGCCGGGCACCAGGCGTCGCCCCCGCTCCTCGCAGTCAGGGCCCCCGCCCCCGCCACCAACTAGAGCCCGAGCGACAGCCGAGTAGGCGGCGGGACTGGCCGGACAAATTTCCTGCTAGGCTGCGGGCAGCGGGAGGCAAGCGGGGTCGCAGGCGGCGCCAGGACCCTGCTGCCTGCACGCGTCCCCTCTACGTTCCTTCGCGCCAGGCGGTGACCGCGGGGAGCCCAGGAGGGCGGCGGGTGGCTGCCTAGGAGATGCGGAGCTGCAGCGGCGCGATTCGCGCGACAGCACCAGCCTCCCAGAGGTGAGCGACGCGCGGTGCGATCGGGTGGCCGTGCATCCCTGCTGTAGCCGTGTGCCCCGGGGCGGCCGGAGCAGGCCGGGGACTCCGCCTCCCAGGAGAGTCGGGCCGCGCTGGGGCTCTGAGTCGGATCCGATTAAGGTCCCTGCCACCTTCGCAGCGCACTTGATGCACGGGGGACCTGGCGACCCAGGGTCAACAGCCCGCGGGGTGTCCCCTCCCCCAGAGTACCCAGCTCAACTTGGGGACCACAGAAGCAGCTCTTGCTTTCCCTTTCGGTGACAAGAAGAGCAGAGCTTGCTTGTCTGCGGGTGGCGACATGCAAAGGGAACTGTGACAGGGCTACCTAGGCGCACATAGCCCAGAAGAGTAGCGCCAGCCGGTATGTGCAGGGCTGCGCTCACGGATTGATTTTGGAGCCTTTCCAGAAAGTGATTCCAGTTGCGTCAACTCTCTTCCCAGCGGGGCAGTGAGGGGATGCTGCCCTCTGGGGTTGGTCCCTGTCTTCCTGGGCAGGGGATAGAGTAGGGTACAAGCTGGGAGCTCAGCAACTGGGAAAGAGACCCATGCAGGTACCCAGAGCGGACTGTGAGGATTTGCAGTGTCAGAACCCTGACCTACCGAGCTTCTGGAGCCAGGGGACGGGGCAATCCTTCTGCTCCCTAGGACCATCTGGGCAAAGCTGGGCAACCCACAGGGTGCTGAGGCAGAGCCAAGCTCATGGACATGGTGCTGGACCTGACTTCGTTCCTTCCAGGAGTGGTAAATCTTCCTAGAAATGTTAGAAAATAATACCTGCAGAATTACATTATTGACTTGTCTTGAGTTATGACCCCTCTAGTGAGGCTTTTAATCCAGAAAGCTCAAGGAAAGACCCTGAGCTTGGGTGGCATGGCACAGGGAATGAAAATATGATGAGTTGAAGGAAAATCAGCAAAAGGATTTTCATGTGCTTGAGAAATTATTGTCTCATCCAGTCACCTCTGCCCTTGACCCCAAGTGGCCCTTGGCTGGGGTTCTAGAAGGGCAGGCAGATGAGTTATTCTGAAACATAAGGAGCATGCCTATTTAAACTATGTGTGTGAGGGGGTGTCTTTCCAAAACTGGGGTGCTAAGCAAGGCCACGTGGGAAATGATGAGGTGTGGAAGCTGAAGCAGCCTCTGACCACACCACCATTTAATGTTCGTGGTTCAGGCAGAGTTCTGAGCATGGACCTGGAGCAGTTCCCATCCTGGCATGGTCCTGCTGCTGCATGGGACCTCGGGACCTTTGTGCCTTGTGAACTAGCACGGTCCCGCCCCCCACCCAGCAGGCCTGCCATGTGTAGACAGAGCTCTACGCTTGTCTCTGTAAAAGACCAGGCCATTCGATAAGTCAGGATGGATTTAGCTGTAAAAATGCAGCCCCGGCCATGTCAGTTGTGGGATGACCATGGGGGAGCTGCTGTCTTGTGATGCTTCCCAGGGTCCTTACCCAGGCACCGAGTACCAATCCTTGTGTTTTTTGTGTCTGCTTAATTATACCAGCTCCACTCTGCTTTGGAAAGTGGGGCTGAAATGTGGCTTTCATGAGTACTCTGTGTTCAGGACCCTGCAGAATACCTGTCAGTGACTACTGTTGGGTGGACAGACAAGTGACAAAGGGAGGTCCTCAAGGACATGTATACTGACAGCAGCTTATGTTTTTTGCAGTAACAGGTGTAGATGGGAGGCAGCCTCAGAGTTTTGGTAATGTAGATTGAACTTGAATCACAGAGATTATGAATGGTCCATCCAGGTGTTATGGAGTCAGTTCTGTTAGAGGTGCTCAGCACACAGCTGGGCCAGAAAGACCCCACATGACCTCCCAACAAGGCAGGTTTGGGAGCAAAAAGGAAACATAATCCAAGATGCCCTCTCTTCCCCCATTTAATATAGATCGCTTTCTTTCTTTTTTTTTTTTTTTTTTTTTGTCTTTTTGAGATAGCATCTCATCATGTAGCTCAGGCTGGCTTTGAGCTTACTTTGTAGTCCAGGCTGGTCATAAACATGCAACAGTCCTCCTGCTTCGGCCTCCCAAGCTCTGGAATTATAAGCGTGCACTACCATGTCCAGCTGATAAGTCTTTTTTCATTTATGATGTTTGACTTGCATTTAGGGAAGTTGTTTTCCAAGATAGGAATTGAACGTGTCCATTAGAATAAAGGTTTCTCTTCTTAATATTTTTTATTATCTCTAGAAAAAATAAATCCTGTATGTTCTAGGTCATCTTTTGACTGTCTCCTGCTACTTTCCATGATCCTTGGAGGTGCAGCTTGCTCAGCCTCATGCTCTGCAGTTCCATCTTCTTTGTCTTCATTACATGAACTCCAGTACCTCAGGGCTCAACTCCAATGCTTCAGTCTCCACAAAGGCTTCCTGGTCCATTTTCCTAAGAGTAACCTCTCTTCCTTTCGGTTCCATAGAAGGACATTTGTGCCTGGCCTAAAACATGTAGTGGACTCTATTTCCAGTCAGCTCATTCAGATAGTTTTATCTCCTGCATCAGTAGCCGGTCAAGGGTGTGCCTCAGAGCTTGGACTTTGGGTCCAGGCAGGGTTCACATCCCAGCTCAGAAGTCACCTTGGCCAAGTGGCTCAAAATGGAGACCACTGCATTTTCTTTTCTAAAATGAGATTGATCGCCTCTACTTAGATGGCTACTGTGAGGGAGACTGATGATGCATATAAATTACAAGCCATGTGCTGGCGCCCCGTAAATTGTAGTTACTATTCTCTTCCAACACTCAGTGCAGTGCAGAGCAGTGTACATGTTTTTTAAAAAGTGTTTAAATGAATAAATCAATAAAGCCAAAATCCACACAAATATATTCTACCTTTTATGTGCCACCCAGATCGGGAGGTCAAATCTATATGATGTGACACGCAGGTCGCAAGATTCTGCAGGATAATCTGAATGATTCTGTAAATTTTGCCTGATTCAGTATTTGACCTCCTGATGTTATCACTCACCTGTGCCCCATGAGTGAATTTATCCTTCAGCATACACCACAGACGCTGGTCTTAGTGATCGGTGAGCCAGAAATACAGCTTGCTTTGCACATTAACCTGGGCTCTTGGCTTGAATAACACAGGCAGGGTGGGAAGCAGTGGAACAGTGATCCAAACCCAGCACCAAGAAATATGATATACAAACCAAGGTAACAAAGCACCCTCTAGGGGCTGGGGAGATGACTCAGTGGAATAAGCGCTTCCCTGGCAAGCGCAAGGGCCTGAGTTCAATCCCCGGTTCTGCCAAAACAGCAACAACAACAACAAAAAAAAAAAGCCTCTAGACCAGAGATTTAAGCTAGGAAACTAATATGTTGTTCCTACAAACCTCAAAAACACTTATTTATTTATTTTTTAAATAGGCTACTGTGGCTCATCGCTGAGTCTGTCCTCCTTTCAGTGCCATGACCAGTTCGCACGCTGTCCATTGCTGGTCCAGGGAAAGCCGCTCCAGAGCCCCAGCCAAAGGCCAGTTGGCGTCGAGAGCAGCTCAGGCCAAGGCAGAGCCAACTCCTGTTTCTCAGCTTAGCAGCTGGGCCCCAGTCCTCTCTCTCACTCTGGATCCCAGCTCTGGGTAGTGATAGCAAGCTGAAGGGTACATTGAACATGCTGTCAATTTCAGGGGCGGACCCCAGACATATCAAAGGTTACTTTGGGTGATTGCCTTTCTGTTGCTTTGTCACTTGCATTTTTGCTTACGAAAGAGGAATGCTGGCTAATATTCTTTATGGTGAGGATTTCAGATCAACCCTATCTGAAGTAATAGGGGTTGGCGATGTTAGTGCTTCTCTAGCAGATGCAGGTGTGGCAGATCTCCAGCTGTTTCCGGATACAGGCTGTGAGATCCCTAGTCTGGGGATTGCCGAACCTGCCTCCTTTTCTTCGTTCCATGCTGGGTGCTGCTCTCCAAACCTCACCTGTCAAGGTCCGCCCCATCCAGGTGTTCCACCTGGGGAGTTTTGATGTGGTTCACAGCCTTTGAACTCTTCCTGCAGCCTGCTCACTGCCAGAAGTGTGGGTTCTGTTTCTTTCTTTCAATTATACAAATACTTCAAAGGGATTGATGAAGCTTATGAAATAAAAACTCTTCACAATATATTTTAGAAAAACAAACATACTCTTTTACATTGATTCCCACTCAAATAAGGACAACATAAAATATTTTTAAAGGGTGGATCTATTTTAAAAACTTTCAAATACAATCAAGAAAAGATGTAACCTAGTGTGTTACTGTATATTGCATGAAGTAACGAAAGGGTTGAGGAAGCGAATGTCTCGCCAAAACAATTATAAGCTGAGAATAGGAAGACTTTGAAGGAGAATTTGGTGCTTGCTTATGGGCTAAAAGTCTGAAGTTTGGGGGGGATAGGTGTTTTGATTCCAGGATTAATTGGGTAAAGAATGGAAGGCTTTATTTTGGGGTCCTAGATCTGGGTACCAGCAACACTGAATCCTGGCTCTTGGAAAAGCTGGTATAGGAACACCAGAAGTTGGTGCATGAGCCCCTCCAGCAGTCAGCAGTTCCTGGGTGGCCCGCTGGTCATACGGCGCCGGGAACTCAGAGCGCACTGAAGTGTGGAGTGGATGGGTGAGTGGACAGAGGGGGAGCTGTGGAGAAGCTGGTCAGTGATGCTGGAGGCTTGGTGCTGAGGGCTGTCTGAGCCACGGCTTCCCTCAGCCTGGATAGAGTAGCAGCAGGAAGTGAAGGAGGATAAGGCCTCTCATTTCCACAGGAGGCTGAACAATCTGGGGCTCAGGGTAAGCAATCTGGGGCAGAAAGACCAGGGTCTGATTGGGGCTTGAGATGCCCAGGTTTGACAAGAAAGAAAGAAGAGATACCTTGTGTATGCGTGATTCCAATCTTTATGAGGGGAAAAGGACGGGGCCACATGGGTTGTAGTGAAGAGGAGTAGAGGATGTGAGCAGAGGCTTGGCATACACTAGCCAAAGGACCACAGGACCTGAACCAAAGGC